ATTTTTAATATTTTATTTATCTGTGTGTGTGTGTGTGGCCAGCTCAGCCCACCAGGGGGCGGGGCTGGCTGGCATGTGGTGCTGGGGATTGAACTGTGGTCCCTGTGCTTTAGCTTAGCTTAGCTTGTTCTACGTAGGTGCTTTAGACCACTGAGCCATCTCACCAGCCCCAATGATTCATTTTTAATTTTTCCTATATTTTAGGGAAGGGTCTACAGGGTGTTCAGGGTCTCACTACTAGATGGAACTTGTAGTTATCTGCCTGTTTACAGTCTCCCAAGTGCTGGGATTACAGGTGTGTGCCACCATGCCCAGTCTCAATCGCTATCTCAGTGTGCCCCGGGGGCAGGGCTGGCACGACATGCCTGCGGATCGACTGGCCCCGTGCCTGCTTGCAGGTGCTTTAATCCATGATTCATGTTTTAGTTTTAAAGAAAAAAAAAAAACAAAAACCTTTAAACTGGTGATTGAAACCAGGGCCTTCACATAGAACTATATTCCAGGCCTTTAAAACTTTATTTTGAGACACGGTCTTGCTTAAGTCTCTAAAAGACTCCAGGAGTGCTGGTATTAGAGTTGTATGCCACTGTGCCCAGTTTTGCACAAGCTCCCCTGATTGGAGGGGAATGTGGGCATGACGGATTGACCAGGATTCAATGTGAACTTACTGGCTGTACGATTCTGGGCAAGTTATTCTGTAGTTTCACTGTGTCCCCATAATAGTGTCACTAAGTAGGATAGGTGATCACAAATATAAATATATCACAGAACCAGCATCCAATACCAGGCATAGTGGTACATGTCTGTAATCCCTACTCTTGGGAGGCTGAGGCAGAAGGAGTGCCACAAGTTGGACCAGGCTAGCTTGCATTACATAGTTAGACTATGTCTCAAAAAATCAACAACAACAAAAAAAATGAACCCCCCTCAAAAAAGAACTAGCGGGGCTGGGGAGACAGCTTGGCAGTCAAAGCGCCTGCCTGGCAAGAGCAAGGACCCAAATTCAATCCCTGGTACCACATGCTGTGCCAGCCCCGGAGTGGAAACCAGGCGTGGTAGTACATGCCTGTAATCCCAGCACTGGGGAGGCTGAGACAGGAGAGTCACTACAAGTCAGAGTTGTATAGTGAGACCCTGTTCCGAATACATAAATAAAAGGTTAAAAAAAAAAAAAACTTTTAAAAAAGAACCAGCACACAGTAACTCAGTTCTTGACTCAGACCCAGTAAGTGGTTCAAGAGAAACAGCACCAACAGTAACAACGAGACATATACAGCTTTATTTAATAATTTGTAAAAAGTCATACTCTGACAGAGTGATGCATTCCTTATCTTAGCAGAAAGCAAAACAATGTGTCTGAAAAGTCTTCTCCCAAGACTGGGAACTGTGTAGCCCTGAGCTTACAGCTGGATGCTCCCATTGCTGGGCTCTGCTGTGCGGCAGCTGGTCTCCATGGTTCTTTCCCCTCCTCCCAGTGGTACTCTCTGGCTGGCCAGGACCCCGTCCCTTACAGCAGACAGGGGGCAGAAAATAACTGTACCAGGACAGGGCTGTCCTTACAAACTGGCCCCTTCCTTCTTGCAAACCAGAGTTTATAGAATTAAGACTCTCAGAAATGGGTTCTGTATCTAATTTAGCTTTGACTAAGTCTGCTGAAATCAAGATTTCAGTTACTCAACATGATATCGTCAATGGCTGTTCTCCCAGGCATTTCCTCACCAGTGACATGGCTTGGGACCATACCTCTCCCTTTTTGGGGGATCGAGAGATGGAGAACCATGATCCATCACACACCTGAGAGGCTCTTCTGGCGGATGTGCGCATGTCTGGAAAGCAGTGATCGGTGGTAGTGGCAGCATCTTGCCCTGCAGAGCGGAGGCCTGGCATTTTGTTTTCTACTTCCCGTGCTAAGAGATTCTAGTAATCAGGCAACTCCTTTAGTCCTCCCCTTTTATTCATGCTATAGGCTGTGTGAAGCCATTTGGAAAGAAGGAGGTAGCTGGCCTCCCGCCTACCTCTCTATGTAAAGCCAACCCTGCTAATGGTCAGATCAATCAATAGTCCAGAGAGTCATTGCAGTTTCTCACATTCCTCAGAGTTGCTCTCTCTAGAAATCATTCTGCAAGTCTTATTGACCGATTTGGAACCAAAGAGAATCTAGTGGCCTATCCCACCTAGATATCTGTTCTGCACCTTTCCCTTAAAAAACATCATTGAGAATGCAAAAAAAGTCCCTTTTTTTCCCCCTGCAGAAGCACTACAAGAAAGCATGTCTAAAATTACAGAACTATGCACACACAAACACAGACACATGTGCTCGCATACACACTGAGTTGGGGATCAAGAATCTTATCAGATACATAGTTGAGGGAGCACAGAAAAAAGCTGGCAAGAGAAGATACGGAAATTAGTCAATTAAAGATGTTGGAATGTTACAGTAATGGCATGGATGAGGTTCTCGGTACATACAAAAAAGGGTGGGTGAGCGGAGGATGATAAATCCAGGCTACTAGGGAAAGGTTCAGTGGCCATGCATGAGTTAAAGACAGTGAAGGCCAGTTTACGGATGACATGTGGTATGGAGTGGTAGTCTGAAGGAGAATGGATTTGCATGGTCCCGGGAGGAGCAACTGCTTAGCAGGACACCTCCATCATATGATGTCTGTCCAGGGCATCAGGGGACTCACAGGATTCTTGAGTTCCATCTGAATGATTGCTGGTGACAGACCGGCTGAAGGGACTTTCTCCAGAGCCGATGCTACTCGAGGTTGAGTGGGTTCGTGATCGGGCGAGCCGGGTCATGCCAGCAGATGGTACTGTAACGAACAACCAAGAGCACTAGAAGGTGGAGCCTAGGTCAAGCTCAACTAATCTACATGTTTTACCAAGAGTATTATGTTTGGATCTCCCAAACCACTTACGATAACACCCACAACAAGACATAGCCATCCCCATTTTGCATATTTGCTCTAGGTGCGTGACTATATGCAAGGCTGCTTTAACCCTCTAGGAATGGCTGGACTCTCAGCTGTTTCTAGTCTACAGCGCAAGGGGAAGCCCTGAGTCTGGAGTACAACCTCAATGGCTGTGCCCACGACATCATACAGTGATTAGGGAAGAGGCTTTGGGAACCCACAGAGGTCACCAAAACCTGCAGTGCATGCAGGACTCAAACAAAACAAAAGACAAACCACACAAGTATGAAAACATTTCACAAACACAGTGCAAGCCCGATACAACAAGACTACCATCCGTGTCCACAGGGTACCCTTGCTGTCTGGGGAGGAGTGGGAAGGTATGGGTGGAGGGGAAGGCAGGTAGACTTAACCCTATTCTCTACACAGGGGGGAAGCATGAGTTGCTTAGAAAAGGAAGACCTGTTGGGGCTGTTTAACTCACTCCTGTTCTGCCACTGGTTTGGTCCTAAGTGCCTTCTAGCTTGGCTGGGACAATGCCTTACCTGGCATAACCTCCCTGCTTGTTCCAGCCACTACTCTAGAGTTCTTTAGGCTAATATTCTATTCACAGTCAAGGCTGCCTTTCAATTCTTGTGTCAGGGCTATATCAGCAGGTGGTGGTGGCAGAGGGAGCCTGTCTATGAAGTTTCAGCTGCTGTCAAGAGTCTGAACTTAGGATGATGAGAAGAGAACTATGGATTAGAACCTGGCCCTCTCTTCCTCCTAGGGAATGAGAGCCAGACCTGTAGGCTACACCTTGGAGCACAACGAGCCACGTTCTATCGGGCTCTCACTGCACAGGAAGACCGCGGACATGCTGCAGACAGCCAATGCAGCCAGAAGAGCATGGCTGGGAGCGGGTGGGGTCAGCACAGAGGAAGGTACCTGGCTCGGTGCTGAGGTGACTGAGCTGCACATACGGGACTGGAAGCAGGATGGACACAGGAAAAGGCAGGTTAGTGACCCAAGAGTGCCAAGTGGCAACCTTGGCTGCCTAGTAGACACTGACGGAATATCCCGAAGTGAGGGATACAAGCTTACTTTAAGGTCCCAGAGAGGCAGTGAGGCTAACTGAGGCTTCTGTATCACCCGGAATGTCATTTCTCTCATCTAGACAACTGTTTTCCACTCTGCACAGCTACCCTGCTCTGGCTCAGAAACAGGCTGCAAGACTGTCTTACAGCTGTCTTATGGAAAGGGACTGAGAACAGGCTAGAAGGGGACTTCTTTTCCTCCCGGCGAGCCAGAAGGCTGTGGCTGTGGGCAAGGTTGGTAGTGGCTCACAGATGAGAACAACACAGCCACTCTAGACAAGACACACACGGTCTGCCTGGTAGGTACAGGGCTCCACCCAAGGCCCAGCTACCCAGGGAAGCTGCCCAGTCAGCTCACCAGTGGCCACATGGATACCACACAGGAAAACCACTTTGCTGGGTAAAGAGCTCTGTACCTGGGTGAAAGGGTTTTTCTTCTCAAAATTCAAACATGGAGCAAGTGTGGGTTTTCTGTGACGAATGAGAAAGCTCAGCGGTCTCACGGATACACGAGACCAGGACAGTGGCATACAGCGTTATGGACATAGCCTTGGACTTGCTACGAAATACTCGGCAAGTTCATCCTCTGTGGTGAACAGACGTCACTAAGACCACCACCCTTTTCTTCTGGACTCTCCATAATGAGCAGGAATGCAAATCATAACTTCCAATTCATGGCTGAGACAGCTGAAGCCTCAATGGTTCAAAATGTGCACTCTGGAGCCAGAATGCCAAGGCCTGAATCGCGGCTCTGCAGCCTAATTGTTACTCTGGGAAATGTGCTTAGCTTCTCTGAACCTCAGTTTCTTTTAACGAATTGGGACTGATAACTTACCTGTTAGGTTAAGAGTACACAGTGCCTGACACAGGTAAGTGCTTAAGAAGTGTTCTCTTAAGAACACTTAAGAGAGTGTTCTTAAGGGGCCGGGGAGATGGCTCAGTAGGATAAGCGCTTGCTGGCAAACGCAAAGCTCTGAGTTCAATCCCCGGTTCCGATAAAAAAAGAAGTGTTCTCTTATTATACTGACACACAAGGAATGCTCCACAAACATTTGGGTTTCTACTTAAGATTGGCTAGCACAGAGGTTAGGCCCTAAGGGTTGTGGCCCCCCTATATGGCAAACTGCTCCCGTTATACTGATCCCATTATAAATAATTTGTTTCTCAAAAGAAAGTTGTACACTACTCACTGTAGCCCATTCCCTGCAAAAAGTACTTGAAGGCTTCGGTGAGCTTCCCAGGCTGGGGGAACAAAATAAGAAAGCATTAATCTTTGGGATAGACAAGAGAGGTGGAACAGAACGATTAGTTTCTAACTTCTTACCTGAACTACTTGGGGCAGTCCCCCACAGTCCGCCATCTAGAAGAGGAAAAATATGCAAGTCAGCACGACTTATCCTTAAGGGAAATGCCCTGAACATCCCAACTGGGATAGGGTTTTTAGGGCCCTGAGCATTTGAGCACATCACATTTCCATTCCTCAATGCACTCTGTATAAAGACTCTCGTGCTAACAATAATCTTGGACAGAAATCTGAAATTATTCTTCAGTACTTACTCATCCATAAGATGTCATGCCTGGCTTTCAGGCCCGCGGTAGGTGTTCTATCAGGGTAAAAATGAAGTCAGCCACTACTTCCAACTTTGGCTGTGCCTCCATGTGAAGAATGTTACTTTCAGTGTTCTCAAACCATGATCCTAACTTCTCAGTGCTTCATGGTTTTGAGTCCTCTTTCATCTCTACATTGTTCTTACTCCAAAACAAACCAGGAGCTGAGGCTGAATTCTTCTACCTTTCTTGATCATTCACTGGTCTCTCTTGTTTTGGTGGGGCAGTTTACCTCCTCGTAGCCCTTTAAACCGTGTTTTGGTTTTTCTGGTGCTAGGGATGGAACACAGGGCCTTCCCATGCTGGGCAAGGACTCTACCACTGAGACATATGCTAGGCCTGTGTCATCCTGGTCGTAGCCTATCCTATCCACTTAAAGACTATGCCTTGCTGAGTTGCCCAGTCTGGCCTCAAAACGTGAGGCCAATGCAGAAGGATTCTAAGTTCAAGCCCATCCTGGACAACTTAGCGAGACCTTGTTTCAAAATTTAAAAAATAGGGCTGGCAAGATAGCTCAGCAGACTAAGCACCTGCTTAGGCAAACACAGGGACTGGGGTTCGATGCCTGACACCATATGCTATGCTGGCTTTACCCCTGGGAGTGCTGAGCTGCCACTGAGTCTGGCCATGGTGGTGCATGCCTGTAATTCCAGTGCTGGGAGGGCTGAAAACAGGAGGATCACTATGAGTCTGAGCTGCATGGTGAGACCCTGTACCAAACACATTAAAATTGAAAAATAAATAAATAAATAAATAGGGCTGGGGATGCAACTCAGAACAAAAGCTGCAGGTTTAATCCTCAGTACTTTAAAAGCACAAAATTTGGGTTCTTGACACTGGGTAGGTAGCTTAGAGATACAGTATCTGTGAAGGACGTATGAGGCACTAGGCTCGTATGAGGCACTAGGCTCGATCCTCAGTGATCCCAAAACAAACAAACTTGAGTTCCTGCTCCCTCTCTCCTTCCCTTTTTCTTAACAGTATTAAGGATGGAACCCAGAACTTCAAACTGAACTATAGCCTCAGCTAGCTAATCTAACCCTTCCTCTCTCTTTCTCTTTTTTAAAGACAGGGCCTCACTATGTAGTTCAGGCTGGCCTCGAACCCATGGTGATTCTTCTGCCTAGTTCTGGGATTACAGGTGTATGCCCCCATACCTAGCTTTTAAAAAATCTGAGGCAAGATCTTGCTAAACTGTTCAGGCTAGGCCCAAACTTGTGAGCCTCCTGTCTTAGCCTCCCACAATGCTGCTATTATAAGTATGTACCACAACAGCCAGCTAGGACCTTGAAGTTTTAAGAAGCTTGTGGACATGCAGAGTCTGCCAGTGTGTAGACTGCACTGTCTCTAGGAGCCCAATCACCTCCTTCCGGCTGTTACACACTCTGAGCTCAGAGAGGGTCCGGCAGGCTGGCTGGTTTTTCTTTGCTTTCTTTCCTTCCTCTTTGCTTCCCCTCTCTCTCTCTAGGTGGTGGGGACTAGCTTTAGGGCTCTTGCATGCTACCCAAGTAACCTACAATGAAACTCTGTCCCCCTCCAAAGGATCTCACTAAATTGTATAAACTGATGATCCTCCTGTCTCAGTTCTCCAAGCAGCTGAGACTGCAGTGTGCAACATTGTATCAGACAAATTAACATTTTCATTTATCTTTTGTTTTCTGACCCAGGGTCTTGTTATATAGTCCAAGCTGGCCTTGAACTATGTAGCCCACTCTACTCTTAGACTCTCAGCAATCCTTCTTCTTTAGTCTCCTGGACTGCTAGGATTACAGATGTGTCCCACTTTGCTGGTATTGTATAGAAAGGGCATGAACCTCATGGTTCAACTCACTGGTGTTAAGATATTCTTTGAATGGGGACCATTATTTAGGGGAAAGGAACACTACAGAAGGCATAGGAGTTTTAGGTTAAAAAAGAGTATCTCCTGGGCTAGGGAGATAGCTTGGCAGTCTAAGTGCCTGCCTGCCTGGCAAGCGCAAGGACCTGGGTTTGACGCCTGGTACTGCATGCCACGCCGGCTCTGGAATCCCAGGTGCACTGTGCTGGCCACCAAAGTCGGCTGTGATGGCATATGCCTGTAATCCCAGCACTCAGGAGGATGAGACAGGATTGCTCCAAGTTCAAGATCATCCTGTGGCCTACAAAAAGGAGCACAAGAGCATAAGACCAGCCCAAAGCGCACAGTGAGACCTTATCTCAAAAAAATAAAAAAAAAAAATTTTTTTTTGCTATACAGCTCAGACTTGTAGTGATCCTGTTTTCAGCCTCCCCAGTGCTGGGATTACAGGCATGCACCACACCTGGTCTCAGTGGCCACTCAGCATGCCTGGAGAAAGAGCCAGGGTGACAAAAAATTTTTTTATGTAGCACAGGCTGACCTCAAACTTACAGTGATCTTTCTGCCTACACCTCCTAAGTGCTGGGATTACAGGTATGTACCACCACACTTAGCAAAATGTTTATTCTTCACATTTTTTACTTTCAATTATCTACAATGAAAACATTCAGGAAAAAAAAAAAAGCATTAAAAGATGAGAGAAAATGAGAGAATCATACAGTGAAGCTTTGCTTCTTTTTGGCTGTCACAAAAACCCTTAATTTGAAGCATTGAGGGAAGAAGAGACATTACCTTTAGCAAAGTTGTATTTATAGGGTTGAGGCGAGAATTACATTCAACCTATAAAAAAAAAATAATAAGACATAGCATAAGAACAGTCTTGTAAGATCAACAACTCAATTTAGTGATGGTTGAACAAATCAGATCACCAAAATATACCTGGGGAAAGAGACATGATACAGCTGGGTGTGGTGGCTCACACCTATAGCCCCACCACTAGGGAGGCTGAGGCAGGAGGATCGTTGTGAATTTGAGACCAGCCTGTAGTACAAAGTGAGTACAAGGCCAGCCTGCACTACATAGTGTGGCCCTGTCTCAAAAAGAAAACAAACAAAAAAGAACCAAAAACACACTCAACCAAATCTACTGAATACTGAAGGATGAATAGGATTTCTCGGGATATAGAGAAATGATAGATATTTTGACAACTTCCAGAATTAGGGGTAAACATATGAAAGACAAAGGGCATGTGGAGCAGGGCAGATGAAGGGTTACAGATGCAAATGTGAAGTGAGAATATGCACAGGGGTGAGGATGGGGGCAGACTGGACTTGACAGTGGAAGGCAAGACGTCACAGGTTTCTGAGGTGATGGGATTTAAGTTGCTTTAGAATAGTGGCTTGTAAAACAGAGTGCAGAGTCATCTGCCAGTGAGAGCAGGGTTAAAATTACTTAGGTAATGGGGCCGGGGAGATGGCTCAGTAGAATAAGTGCTTCTCTGGCAAGCAAAAGGGTCTGAGTTCAATCCCTGGTTCCGCAAAAATAAATAAATAAATAAATAAATAAATATTACTTAGGTAAGAACCAGTAATCCAGCTGAATTTTTAATCTGGGCTGCTGATGGGTGGGTATACAGAACTCTTCTAGAATCAGAGGACAATCTAAATGTCAAGAGTTTTAATTTGCTCTTTTTTTAATTTTTATTTATTACAATTATTTATTGTGTGTGTGTGTGGCCAGCTCAGCCCACCAGGGGGCGGGGCTGGCTGGCATGTGGTGCTGGGGATCGAACCGTGGTCCCTGTGCTTTGCCAAGCTTGTTTCAAGTAGGTGCTTTAGACCACTGAGCCATCTCTCCAGCCCTTAATTTGCTCTTAACACCAATGACTTTACAGGCAGTGATAAACAAATGCACTGATTTACTATATGATATGCTTAATTAGTAATCCCAGCACTTGGGAGGCTGAGGCAGGAGGGTTGATGTGAGTTCAAGACCAGCCAGGGCTACAAAGTGACCTCAATGCCAGCCTGAACCGCATGGTAAGACCTGTTCAAAAAGACAAAAACAAATATATGCTTAATTCTAAAGGTAGATTTGTTGGGGGAAGGGGAGGAGTCCTTTTTGACACAGGATCTCACTACAGCGGTTCAGACTGGCCTTGAACTCATTTTGTAGCTCAGGCTGGTCTTGAACTGCCATCAATCCTCCTGCCTCAGCCTACCAAGTTGTGGAATTATATGCATGTGCCACCACACCCAGCAAAAGGTAGATTTTAAAACTGGATCCTTGTTGGGAGGTGAAGTTGCCTTTACCTTGGCATCTAGCACAAGACTACTGCTTTTCATGAGTTTGACAGGGCCCCATGAGAAGTGTGTGGAGCTTAGGGAGCTGACACACTTAGTGACTTGACCTTTGCTTGAGATACTAAACATTCCCCTCTTGTACCCTGTGAAGCCACCACCAAGGCACGGTGTTCTGGCAAAGATTAGATAGTCTTCCTGTCACAGATCCTACCCTCCTCTTAAGCTCTCCATCAATGTATTCATATGCTGATGGTATAAATAAATGCACTGCAGGTGCAGGACAGTTCCTTTCTCCCATCAGGAGAAAAGGCTCCACCTGACCTCAGCTTTCTGCATCCTGACTTTGTTTTTCTTGATCCCCCACTGTCCTCCTTTCAGTTTCAAGGGCTGCACTGGATGCGGCATTATGGCACATGAACAGGGACTGGAGTACAAAAACCCTCATCATTTCACAGGTGAGGGGACACCCCAGGTTGCACACACAAACAGAACAGGATAATGAGAGCAAAAAGAGAAAGTATATTGATTTCATCAGGTGTAAAACATAGGGCAAACGGGCTTATGAGAGCAATAGTTTTACACAGAAAAGCTTGCTGTATTATTAAAAGGAAAAGGCTGAAATAAAAGTAAAGATTTCACAATTGAAAAGGTTTCTTGCTTCTGTATAAGAGACATGTCCTTTGTTTCCAGACGAAGGAACCATGAAGTTACACACTTAGGAGGTGGGAAACCAGCTTAGAGCAAGATTAAAAAAGCAAATCAGCATAAATCAATCTAGACCTCTACCAACTTTTAAAGGGTTAACAGGGATAAACACTACTTCTCATAGACTCCCTGGGTTGGGGAGGAACAGGGCGAATGGGTGCAAGCCAGGCAGGAACCAAATAGTTCCACTGAGCCTGGAGCCAGGCTCAGACAAGCAAGCGGGGAGGAACCCAAACGTCTGCTTTGTGTTGCGTGAGCTGCAGTGGGGAGTATGGGCTGTTGTGCCCTGGCTTGGCACACCTAAGGAGCAACAGCACCTTTGTCCCGATAGACAGCCACAGCTTGCTTTTGCTGAGTCTAAATCAGTCTGGAGTGTATCATGCCCACCCTTTCTCTGCTCATACATCACAAACAGCTGTAGCACCAGCAACTGGCAGGAAACTGGGCATCATCATAGCAACACAGGAGTAGGGGGGCAGGATGCAGCCCTAGCAAAAACCAAATCATTTGTCATAGCTAAATCTTGGAAACAGCCCAAATGCCCACCAACTGGGGAATGGACCAAAAAAAAAAGGTGGCATTTTTATACGATGGAGTTACTCAGCTATAAAAAAAATAAACTCAAGGCTTTTATAGGTAAATGGGTGCAACTAGAGAGCACACTCATAAGTGAAATAAATCAGACCTGTATGTGTGAACATTGTCCTATCTCCTTAGTATAAGAAGCTGAAAGAGTAAATAAAATCCAGAAAGTACAATGAATACTGTGAAAGGGGGAAAAAGTTCAAAGTGAAGGAACAATTGGGATGAAGAAAAGGAGAAAAGCAAGAAGGAATGAAGGGAAAAAATATATCTGTATACATACAGGATACCCTGGATAATTGTACTGCTGATTTCTGCTGGCCTAATGAAAAGAACGATTAATGCTTCCCCCCTCTTTTAATTATTCCCCCCAAATTCTGCATGCTTATTATCTGGAAACTGAACAATTTGAAGGCAACAATATGCAGTGTAACAACCATTGTTTAATTCCTATCATTTTGTTTAGTGAAATTCTGCATCATTTTCAATGTTTCTTTTTAATATTTTTTCTTTTAAAAAATGTTATTCTATTGTTAGTTCTAAATAGGGAAAATGTAGTTGAGAATGTTGTCCAGGTTTTCTGTACATTGCTGATGTTTTAGAATATACAGGGTTTTTTTTTTTTTTTTGGTCATTAAGCTCTGTTTATGGCTATTTAAAATGGCCTAACATTCCTGCTCACTGCCATTCATTTCTACCTGTATTGGAAGGTCTGTTACTTCGGTCCACAAATGTTTATCCTTTTTCTGTCTTCTTGATGTACTGGCATTTTATCATTATTAAAAGTCTTTCTTCAGCAATAACACCAACAAAACCCAAAACAAATTAAAGGCACCAACAAAGGCACCAACAAAGTGATAATATTAACCCAAATTATATCAAGTCTTACAGAGAGAATCCTATTAGGAAAAAAGGTCTGAGTATGTGACACAGCAGAGATGACTGAGCTGGAGACCACACGAGAGGTCCAAACATCGAAGTTGCCAGTAGACAAAATAAAGTACAAAAACTATTGATTATAGATAAGAAGGTTTTTATTCACTCCAAATTCTTCTTCTAAGAGATCTTTGTTAACTGACCTATAAAAAATTTTGACTACTTTTTTATAATTACAAATTTCTATAAATTATCAGTTATTATAATTCAATCTGGCCAAAATACATTTGAGTGCACTATGATTTTATAAGCAAATGTCTTGTGTGTATTTGTGTTTGTCTGAGTCTGATGCGTAAATTCTAACTAGAGTTTAATAAATAATTTTATTTATTAAATTTTTTTTTTTTTTTGTACTGGGAATTGAGCGCAGGAACTGACACTTGCCAGGCAGGGCACAGGAGTTCTGCCACTGAGCTAAATCCCTGGCCCCTAGCTGATTTATTTGAGCTCAACCAATTTTTCTTTCCTTTGCATTTTTGGATTTTTGAAGCATTTGTCTAGAATTTAATTTGGCCTACAGATAAATGTCATCAAAATTAGAGATATGAAAAAAAAAAGATATGCTTCCATTACAGTTGCCAGCTTGTCAAAATGATGTCAAAATTGCTTGTATAATGTAATGCATATTATTGCTTATGTATCATGCCTTGAGTCTCTCATTGTTCAAAAAACAGTGTGTTGGGGCCAGGGAGATGGCTCAGTAGAATAAGCGCTTGCCTGGCAAGCGTAAACCTGAGCTCAACCCCTGGTTCCATGAAAAAAAAAGTCTGTTAAGTATTCTTATATGGTTTTCATATGTCATCACAAATTTTTAAATAGGTCTGGGGAGATGGCTCAGGGACATAAATGCCTGCCTGGTAAGCACAAAGTCCTGAGTTTGATCCTGGTACCGGAAAAAAAAAAAAAAAAATCAAATCCCTTAGGATTAGGAGAAACTGTTGGATAGGACTCCAACGGATAAATAAGGAAGCAGGTATCTGGAAACAATTACCCAGTCCTTGTTCATTAATAGGAGGCCCTAGATCTTTAACTGCCATGCACAGTACTGAGAATACAACAGATATATTTTCTGGAAGAATGGATAGGGAAGTTCGGACTTTTCAAGGCCTTGCATACCACTGAGCAACATTTACATTCTCAATTAAAAAAAAAAAAATTGATGGTACTAGGACTGGACCGAGGGCACTGAGCTACATTCCCAGCCTTTTTTATTGTGAGACAGGTTCTCACTAAATTGCCTAGCCTTGGCTCACATTCACAATCAACCTGCCTCAGCTTTCCAAGTACCAAGGATTACAGTTATGTGGCACCAGG